GCTCAAATTTGCAATAGATTTTTCACTTGGAATTGTAGAAACCATGATATGCAAACAAATAATCTTCCCAGAACACAAACACAATGTTTACAAGCAATTTCAAACATAATTAATTTCAAACGAGCCGAATATTTGCCAAGTCTGAGCCCACTCAGGCATGGCTTGTTTACAGTCCTAGAACCTATAGATGAGATTTGCAATAGTTTTTTTACTTGGAACTGTAGAAACGATGTTATGCAAATAAATAATCTTCCCATACAATAGGACATTTTTTCTTGGTTTTGACGTAGTATCATATAGTTATGTTATTTTGACCCCCCGATTATTGAACAAATGTAAAATGACACTTTTGTAATGTGGTTCCGCTCACCTACCACATCTCACCTACCGCTCACTTACTGCACACCACGCGTACACCTTCCCTCCCAAAGTGGCTTCCGAGCTAGCTCTTATGTACTTCTTTAGGCTATATCAAGCCCACTCAACCGCATGATGTAGCTTCAATTTGCTGAGCACAAAAGTGTATGTGGAATTTGGCCCAAGGAATAGAACGCGGGATTGAGAGAAGACAAAGATGAGGTGAACAATAGAAATAGAGCATCTAACATTTTTTCAATAAAATGTTCTCTTATTCTTAGGTATAGGAGACAATTGGAATATTGGATCGAACCACGTAAACGATCTGTGTTTGCTTGTGTTATTTGCGTTTCATTTATATGTCAGGAAGTACATATCTCACAACAATTGGCGCCGTCTGTGGGAAGATCCATACTTCTTGGCTAGAGGTGTCCACGTAAAGGTGTTCGCAACCAGCGACGAAGAAAAGGAGTTCGACATTCACGAACAGAGGAGCAAGCGGATCGTGCCGCATGCAGCCGATCCTCAGGTGGTGCGGTCCGGCGAGACGAAGGAGGAACTGCCCGCGAAGGAGCAGAGGAAGGCGGGTCGTTCGTTCGGTGAAGGGGCAAATCTCCGAAGGAGGAGGATTTCCGCGACAGCTAACACATGCCGCGACAGAAGCACGCGAAGCACGCCGCGACAGCTCTCGGAATTCAGTAGGTGCTCAGCGGAGCGGATTCATACGTTAGTGGGGATCGAGCCACAATAATGGGTTCCGCCAAATTCGACATCTAGAAATTCAACGGGAATAATAATTTTGGTCTATGGAGAGTAAAGATGAGAGCTCTATTGGT